CCCCCTCAAAAAAAAAAAAAAAAAAAAAAAAAAACAAAAACTACAGCTTAAGAAAATTGTATATATATACAAATTTTACATAATTATCAATACTTTTAATTTTTTTTTTTCATTAAATTTATTTTATATATATATAAATATTTATATATTCATTTATTTATTTATTTATTTATATAAACAACTTTTTATTTATTTATTTTTTTTATTTTTTTTTCAACACAAGATTATATATAAAAAAAAAAAAAAAAAAATTCAATTTCGACGCCCGAACTGCTGAGTTTTACACTTTGTTTTTTAATTACATTTACATTTTTCTCGCTTTCATCATAGTTCTTTTATTTATTTATTTATTTATTTATATATATCAACATCATAAATAAACAATTCAAAATAATTATTATTTTGTACAAACGTAATTAGCCGAGGAGAATAGAATGAGAATAATAATAATAAAAAAAAAAAAAAATTAAATTAAATGGAAAAAAAAAAAAAACTGGAGGGAGAAAAAGAGAAAGATAGAGAGAGAGAAAGAGGGGGGGTAGGAAGGTAGGTAGGGAGGGAATAGAGTGAAAAAAAAATAGTTATAAAAAAATTAATTGAGAATGATTGATAAATAATCAAAGACGAAACTTCTCCGTATACAAGAATCATTCAAGCGACATATGTGTACGTTTTCCTGAAAATAAAAAAAAAATAAAATTTTGTTGTTTGTTTTGTTTGTTTCGTTTGTATCGTTTGTATCGTCGTCGCGTCCGCGATGTGAGAGAAACCTGATTTACTACTACTACTACTACGAGCCCATGAAAAAAAAAAAAATTATTATTATTATTATTATTATTGTTGTTGTTATTACCTATCGTCCAATGTCCTCGCTAAATATTCTCTTTCGATAAGACCTTCTATCCTTTTTTTAATAATTACGGGAGATGGTAGAAAACGAGATTTGAGCTGTTCGATAACTTCCGCTACTAAAACGTTGTGCTAAAAAAAATTCACAAAAAAAATTTTTTTTTAATCCGACTTTTTTCAAAAAGAAAAAAAAAAAAAAAAAAAAGAAAAACGACTCACGGTCATTTTCTTCCTTGCTTTCATGATCCTAACAATCGCAGCTTCGATTTCGTGTTTCCGATCTTCGTCTACTTTATTCCGCGTTTCGCGTCTTTCAGGCTCTGACTCTCCTTTGGCGGCAACCGTTTGAATTTTAACACGGTGTAACTTTGACGAAAATGAATCGTTCACGAAAAAAACGTGACTGGGTTCGATTTCTTTCGTTTTGGGATTTTTAATTAAAATCCTTTGCGTTGCTTTTCCCATTGCTAACGATTGCAAAGCTCTGATCAAATCCCTTTCCGGTATGTCAGTTTCGCTTTGGATTTCCTACGTCCACGACGACGACGACGACGACGAAGAACAAAATTTAAATGAATAATAATAATAAGAAAAAAAAA